GAGGCTCCGGGTGCCCATGCTACTGTGCCACACGCCTGGGAGGGGGCGGAGGGCTGAGGACTCGCACGGGCCTCCTTGGGGTGCTGGCGCCCAACCGGGATGGGCAGCTGTTAGGGCGCAGGGAGGACGCGTTTGTGAGGAGAGCCGGTAAGCCGATCCTCGGAGCCCGGGAGAGGCGTCGGCCCGTCGGCCCAGCAGGACCCGCTCATGGTCCCCACTTGCTCGGGCGCAGGAGTCTGCACTGCCAGCGACAACAGGGAAGCAGGGGATAGCCCGTGTCACCCCCTTGGAGGGAACGCAGGGCCCAGGACTTGTTTAGGCCTCCCCGAGGGTGATGACACCTAACCCGGACAAGTAGCTGTGTGTGCACAGAGGGTCGACCCTATCCCAACAAAGTAAATACAACACTCACAGCAAGCCCCCACCCAGGACAGAGTCCACATCCTCACCCCCCACACCAGGCCCCAGCACACCACCACGGGTGAGAGGGACCATGGGCTGCGAGGGCAGTCCACATGTCTTGGAAAGGCTGGCCTGCAGGTTGACACAAACACAGGTTTGGGAGAGGCTGAGAGGTGGCTGAAGCGAGGCCCCCGTTCTCCTGGGCAGCGTGGGCAGGTGTCCAGAGCTTTTATGAGTCTTTACATTTCTTTCTTCATTATTATATTTTATTTATTTTTAGAGACAGGGTCCCGCACTGTCACCCAGGCTGGATTCAGTGGTGTGACCATAGCTCACTGTAGCCCCAAATTCCTGGGTTCACTGAATCCTCCTATCTCAGCCTCCCATAGCTGGAACTAGAGGCACAGCTTCTTTTGTTTGTTTTGGTTGCTCAGGCTGGTCGCAAACTCTTGGCTTCAGGTAATCCTCCCACCTCAGCCTCCCAAAGCACTGGGATTATTTCTTGTCTTTCTTTCTTTTAGACAGAGTGGCACGGGGGGGGGGGGGGGGGGGGGGGGGGGGGTGTCTTGAGATGTTACCCAGGCTGGTCTGGAACTCTTGGACTCAAAGGATCCTCCCAGGTAGCTGGGCCTGCATGCACGAGCCACACCTGTCAGCCAGTTGCCAGCAGGTTCTGGGAGACCACATGCCTGAGCCCCAAGATGCCGCGCTCAGCCCTGTCCCGTGCATGCTCTCTGGCCAAGCAAGCCCAGGAGTGGGGAGCCAAGGAGGGAGGACGTGCTCCTTGTGTGCCTGGAGCTCTGGCTGCCCATTTGCAGTTCCAAGTGTCACCGTGACCCTGCAGGTGTGGCAGGTGAACACAAAGGGGAATGCTGACCTCAGTCTAAGTCATAAGTCAGTTTTAAAGATCCTGGAAAGAAAAAAAACCTGTCCCAGGGAGCCCAGGTGGACGGTGTGTTTCTCTTCTCAGCTGGGCTGGCGCCCAGGCCTTGACTGCACCGTCATGTGTTCTTGGGCTCACCGGTCCACTCGCCCCTCGACCGAACTGACAAGCACTGGTGGTCTTCTGCAATCGTCCCCAGGGTCACAAGTTGTTCAGACAGCCTTCTTTTTGAGTGGCAGCCTCACTCTGTCGCCCAGGCTGGAGTGCAGTGGCACGCTCATGGCCATCACAGCCTTGACCAGCTGGCCTCAGGAGATTCTTCCACCCCAGCCTTCCAAGTAGCTGGAACTACTGGCGTGCACCGCCATGCCCAGCTCATTCTTTGACTTATTGTAGATATGTGGCCTTACCAAGTTGCCCAGGCTGGTCTTGAACCCCTGAGCTTAGGCAATCCTCTCACCTCGGCTTCCCAAAGTGCTGAATTACAGGTTTAAGCCACCGTGCCCAGCCCTCAGACCCCTTCTGCTTGCCATAAAGTAACAGCTGGTAGCTGGCATCACCGATCAGCACACCAGAAGGGAACAGCCCGGGGCGTTCCGGAAGTCACATGGCCAACATCCAGGAAACAGGGCAAAGGTCGCAGTCTTCGGGGAAAGACCGGCCCTTTCTGCGCTCCACCCCGTTCAGCAGAGACAGGACCTGGCTTGAGTCTGGGTGGGGGGACGTGCGTTCACACAATCCCCCTGTCCTTCTCTTCAAACCAGGAATGCCCAGACCCGGAGGCTTTTGGAAACAGACCTCCACTGCCTGCACCGGCCCCTCCCTAGTCATCCGGACATCCAGGGCAGAGCCGGAGGCGGGGTGCCAGCTTCCGCTGTGCCTGGAGAGCTCCTGCCCACTCCTGGCATCCCGCAGACCCTGGGCCATCGCTGCCCCTGACTTACTTTGGCAACGGCCGCCTCCCCACGGAAGACATCACAACCCAGCTCAGAGAGTCTGTGCTGTCTCTTCTGTCCTCAGCCCCCGGGCCTCACTGGCTTGAGGCTGACCAGCAGAGAGAAGTCTGGTCCAGACGACCGGGGGGCAGATCCCGGACACGACCCACAGCCCGCAGCCCCCGAAGGCCGCGGCAGGAGGGCCCGGTCTCTGTCGGCGACCGGAAAAGCAGCCGGGCGCGCGGCGGCGCC